AAAAGCCTGTAGGAGTATTGAATACTTGCCCTACATGTCATGAGAGATACATGAGAGAACCTATGTGCACATTGTTATCTGTCTGATCTACAACCCCAATTCCAAAAAAAGTTGGGACACTGCGTAAAATGTAAATAAATGTAAATTAAAACAGAATGCAATGATTTGCAAATCATATAAACCCATATTTTATCCACAATAGAACACAGAACACATATATCAGATGTTGAAAGTGAGACGTTTTACTTTTTCATGAAAAACATGAATTCATTTAGAACTTGAACATGTCTCAAAAAAGTTGGGACAGGGCAACAAAAGGCTGCAAAAGTAAAAGGTACTAATGGAATTGAATTGAATGGAAAAACAGCATCATAGAGTAAAAGTGTACCCTAAACGCAGCCAAAGCATCCTATTTTTCATCACTAATTGAGAATAACAAAAATAATCCCAAGATCCTGTTACAGGACTATATCCAAACTAACTGGTAACATTAAACAGTTTGAAGACGATATTCAAACAACATACAGCAGCAATGATTTTAGCAGATTCTTCAATGATAAAATAGAAAATATTAGACTACAAATCCAAAATTTGCCTATAGGTCTAATTTCACAACATGATGAGTGCCCTGCCAGCCCCAAAGTCCAATTGCTATCTTTTAGTCCTAGCCAACCAAATGAATTAGTCACACCCAAAGCTCACCCAAATCATCAACATGCATTCTTGACCCAGTACCTACAAAATTGCTCAAACAGATTGTCCCCTGTGTTGTTAAAACTCTGCTGTCTATAATAAATTCTTCCCTCCATCTGGGATACGTACCAAAATCATTAAAACTTGCAGTCGTTAAACCACTACTTAAAAAGCAAGATCTTGATCCCAATGAACTTACCATCTATAGACCAATTTCCAATCTCCCCTTCATTGCAAAGATCTCACAACAACTGTGCTCCTATCTACAAGAAAACTCTCTCCATGAGATGTTTCAGTCTGGCTTTAGACCCTTTCATGTACTGAAACAGAGTAGTAAATGATCTTGTGTCTCTCAATAGTGGCCATATTTGCATATTAGTCCTTCTAGATCTCAGCGCAGCATTTGATACTATTGACCACAAGATCCTCCTTGATAGGCTGGAAAATCTGGTTGGTATCAAAGGACAGGCTTTGTCGCGGTTCCGATCCTATCTGACTGACCATTATCAATTTGTCAGTGTTAACAGTAAACACTCTGATCGTATGCTAGTACAATATGGTGTCCCCCAAGGATCAGTGCTCGGGCTGCTGTTTTTCTCTCTGTACGTGCAACCTCTTGGTAACATAATTCGCAGGTTCAGCGTTAGTTTTCACTGCTAAGCAGAAGACACACAGCTCTACGTATCTGCTAAACCAAATGAGGCTCTGAATCTAAATAAACTGGAAGAATGTGTTACAAATATCAAAAGCTGGATGACCAACAATTTCCTTCTTCTTAATCCCAACAAAACTGAGGTCCTACTACTTGGACCCAAAGCAAAGACATCTCAACTCTCCAAATTTGAACTAAATTTAGATGGTGATACGGTCATTCCAAGTCAAGCCAAGTCAAGAGGCTTTTATTGTCATTCTATCTACGTACAAGTACACAGTGAAGTGAAATTATGTTCCTCCAGGAACAAGGTGCACATGGAACAAAAGAGTACAAAGTGCAAACGTGCAGACATAAGTATGCAAATAAAAAATTAAACTAGAAACAATACAATAAATATGATAAATTAAACAGACATTAGACACAGTAAACAGACAGGACAGTGCAGCACCGACACAGCACTCATTTCTGGACATGAGGTAGTGGAATAAGGTGCAGAGATACTTAACATGCTGTGATCTATGAGTTTACGTAGTCATATAACATACATAAACACAGCAGTTACTGAGATAGTACTTGAGTAAACAGTGTAAACACAATGTTAGCAGCAATGTTCCAGTGCAAGTAGATCATCAAAAGAGGTGTGTGTGTGTGTGTGTGTGTGTGTGTGTGAGAGGGTGAGTGTAGATTACGTGTGTGAGGGAGTTTTCAGATCAGTCCTTGTGAGTTTAAAAACCTGATCGCTTGAGGAACAAAGCTGTTGCAGAGTCTGGCAGTGATGGCACAGATATAAAAATAATAAAAAAGGATAAAAAAAGAATAAAAACGGATAAAAAAAAGATTAAAAAAAAAATCAAGTACCACTGTAAAAAAATCTAGGCGTCATCTCCGATTCCTGTCTCTCTTTTGATACACGTTTGCAACATCGCTAGAACCGCATTCTTTCACTTGTGTAACATCACTAAAATACGTAATATTCTAGCCCTAAATGATGCGAAGCTGGTGCATGCCTTCATAACCTCCAGACTACTTTAGCTGGATGTAGAGTATAAGATCCTTCTCTTAACGTACAAATCGTTAAAAGGCCTGGCCCTGCAGTATCTTAGTGAATTAATTCAGTCATACGAACCCATACATATGCTCCGCTCACAAAATAACGGCTTACTGACAGTTTGTAGAATTAGAAGAACCACAGCAGGTGGTCGAGCATTTTCCTACGTAGCCCCAAAATCTCTGTTCAGGACTCAGACACACTCTCTACATTTAAAACTAGACTTAAAACGTATCTGTTTGCAAATTTTAATATTTTGCTAATATTAGTTGTTGCACTATTACTCACTATTATCTGTCCATAAAAGGGCCTGTCCTGTTAATCAACTTCTCTCCCTCTCTCTCTCGCTTTATTTGAGCCCCTGAGCGACGTTTGCCCGAGTCGCCACATGGGAGCCACCAGAGCTGCTATAGTCACCAGAGCTCCATCTCTGTTGGCTGATCTGCACCGTTTTGACCACCATGGAGTTTCATGCTGTACAATGCTGTGCAAACCTCACCTGCATGAACTGACCCTCCTGATGCTGCTGCATAAACTCAAGCTTTCTAACTAACCATTGCTCCGCCTGTTTTCCCCGTTTTGTATTCTAATATTTTATACTAATGCTGTTTGCTATCCGGTGTCGACCAGAGGAGGATGGGTTCCCCTTTTGAGTCTTGGTTCTACTCAAGGTTTCTTCCTCTTGCTCTTAGGGAGTTTTTCCTTGCCACTGTCCCCACTGGCTTGCTCATGGGGGCTTGGACCCAGATTTTTCTGTAAAGCTGTCTGTGACAACACCTGATGTAAAAAGCGCCATATAAATAAACTTTGACTTGACTACAAATAAAAAAACAGCTGGAGGAGCAATTTGCCATTAACTCACATGACTGGGTATAAAAAGAGCATTTTAGAGAGGCAGAGTTGCTCAGAAGCAAAGATGGGCAATCCGCGAAAAACTGCATCTAAAAAATGTGGAACAATTTCAGAAAAAATCATATACCTCACTGCCAAAGCCCAGTCAGTACCTCAGGCATTGGAATAGAGCAGATTTAGATGCTATCAGTGCAGTGTACAATACTGAATTCACCACATCAGACAGAAGAGTCACTGTAAACTGTAATTTCCAGCACAACAAATACCCATTGCAATTTTCTCTATAATCTTCTGTTGCATTGCAGTATATGCCCCCACTAATAATCTATATTGTGCCACTGCTCAAAGTGAAATGTAGGCCTACTGGCTTTAGAAAAATAAACTGCCCTTTCATGCACAGAGATACTGACGAGTCAGCCCGGTCTAAAAATGCAGCACAACCTTCAAGCTATGAGGCAGCAAACAGTACTGCATCTTATGCCTAGTACTGAAACGCATATATTCACAAAGCATCCACCAATCTAACAAACATTCAACCCAACATGGGTAAACAGAAATCAGTGTGAGGACAACTCTTCTAAGGAAAAATGAAAGAGAACTGATGCAACAAATTGAGGTAAAATGCAAACAAATGTATCACAATGAAGGTCAACGACAAGAAATGCAAAATTACAAATGTATCACAGAAAATCCAATAACAAGGGTCAGACATCAAACCTCTTCCATTTTTTTAATTTGTTTTTTTTTTCCCCCCAAACAATAAACAATACAATCAAGCATTCCAGTAACGGGAAGAATACAACACTTCATTGTATTACTGAGCTTCTTTTGATCCAAATCACTTTCTTCTCCCACAATCAATACGAATAATGGTAATTTTAATAAAGGTATAAGAGAAAACACAGGCCATCAATGCAAATACGGTTAGGCTGTCTTTTACACTGCATGTAAAGGTAAATATTATCTCTCACAGTTCTGAACAATCAAACTGATATGAAATGTTGCTTTGACCAGAAAAACACAAAGACCAGCAACCAAAATCAGCAAGCTTCCTCCAAAAAGAGGAAAGTCTCAGTCACACAATAGACAGAGCAAGTGCCATAGTGCCATCTGGAGTACATTCAGAGACCAACAACATTCTTGTGTGTCCACCATCACAATGAAGCTCAGCCATTTAGCTACAAAATGTTAGAATAAAATTACTATATGTTGTCTCACAGCATATAACTGAATGAAGAGAGAGAGTGAAATCGAGAGTGATGCTTTCATATTTAAGTTAATAACATCCTAGGATTATAAGTAGCATATTAAATGCAGAAAAAAACAGCACCACTCAATGTACTATTTCTGGCTGTCATAAAAAATATCAGAACAAAATCTAAAAGCTGACAAACTACAGTTATCAAATTATATATATTTGATCATTATGTTTCCCTTTGCAAGTATGCAGTCAAAAAGGTCAATGGATTCAAACCGGGATGTGCTGATGGGAACTCCTGGCCGATGATAACGTTAATTTACATATTTACCGATGTCAATTCCTACATAAACATACTTACTAACCTCCTATGGAAACATGCAACTCAAAAGTGTCAAAATTGGCCTGAGTTAATTGAAAGATAAGATTCTAAGAATTTACAGAGGATTTTGATAGGCCCAAGATGTTCAAAATATATTTAAAAGACAACACAGAGAAGAAGGATGGGCAATAATGGATGACTAGCATTTCATGGCAAACTGATCAGTACATACCCAGAAAGAACTTCTTAGGAACTTTGATTTCCTCGTCCTTACTGTCTGTTGCTTGAAAACAAAAAAGAAAGGAAAAAAAGAAAGAAAGAGAGAAGAAAACATTGTTTCCCTCCTTACTGTCAGGCAAACAGCTCCAGAAAAGTTAAAAAACTGATAGATAATGAGAGTATCCATAACTGCACACAAGTTCACTGAAATATTTTTGCTTAATTATATAGGATTTATATAGATGTATACTTAGCTTTACACTTGTGTTATTTGTATGTTCATCAGATACACTGTCATTCTTGAACAAGGACATATTTGATGTTTAATTCTCAAAAAATGACTTTTTCACCTAAGTTTTGAGTGAGACAAAACACATTCCTGATTTAAACAAAGAAGATTCTGTCAATCATATAACCCGAACCATTTGCTATAGGCAAGCAAGAACCTTTTGAAAAATATGTGATAAATATTTTACATTCATGATTCTGTGAGACTTCATTAAAAATCTCGAGTGCTCTTTCTTATCAATGTGTTACCAGTTGGTCCCAAGAGTTTCATAGTTTTCAAAGCCTAATGAGTCATCTCCTAAAGTTAAAACAACAAAGTTTTATGTAGTTATAACATTCACATTCACATTCTGTTTGCTCGCATTTACTATAGCTCATATAATGCTTCGACATCTTTAAAGAAAAGTCTGGCGCAAATGTTTTAGTTCTGAAAGATTTCTGTTTTGGTACTAGCTTCCTTTATGTGTGGTAGCTCACCACCAAGCACACAGATAAACAGAGAGAAACCATTTCAGCAACAAACATCTACCACTTTAAATGTACCTAAGAAACAAATAAAATAACATATATGCATGTCTTGATTAATGGCCATAAAAAAGGTAATTTTACCGTAAGGTAAAACACACACATATATATATATATTCTCTCTTTATCACAGCAAAGAGTTTCACTACAGACTGCTCAAATGAGATTTTACCTTACATCAAGACTACTTAAGAATTTGGTTTCAATGTGACTTACAAACCACTTTTGCAATAGACCATACCTGTACACACGTGCTTGGCAAGAGGATATGGCCCTTCATTTAGTTTCTGAATAGAATGTGTCTCACAGCACATACTGAATCTATCTAAATATCACACCTAGCAAAAGCAGAAACACAGATGCCACATAAATTAGTCTCAAACACAAGGGAAACGTGTGTGTGTGAGTGTCTGTCATAGAAATTATAGTACATTTTTAGAGGGTGAAAGAACAGTGTAAGTGGTTCTAACAACTGAGCAACTGTTGCCGTTCAACTCCCAATCAGATGGCTAGAGTTAGTTCAGAGAATGCCATCTGAATATACACTATACGTCCAAAAATATCCAAAAGCAAAAGCAAAAGTTGGAGTGGCATTTGTGATCCAGAACTAATCATATATCAGTACTTGACCTCACCAATGCTCTTGTGGCTGAATACAATTAAATCCTTACAGAAATGATCCAATACGTAGTGTAAAGCCTTCTCAGAGGAGTAGAGGCTGTTACTGTAGCAAATTGGGGGGGATCCCTATTAATACTTTTCTTTCAGTTGTCTACATATTATTAAATACTACATATATATATATATATACATACATATATCCATACATATACAGTAACTGTAAATATGAAAGTCAAGCCAAAAGGATTTATAGAATAATGCAACAGCAAGTTCTGCTAAAAAGTCACAGTACTTCAATAGGCTGTTTCTCTTTTCTCCTCTAAACTAGTGGTTCCCAACCCTGCACCAGGTAAACACCCTGCATTCTGGACAACCTCCTCATCATCAAAGAAGCAAAACATGAAGAAGCAAAACAAAATTAGGACAGGCAATGGCAGAAAATGAGTTGAGTTATTCTTAGGTTATAGTAGTGCATTTAAAAGAGCCAATCAAGTTACTAGTAAAGCCACTCGTAAGAAAAGCCCACCTTCATTGTGGCGATATGTGCTTGAGGAGTAGCTTGCTGAAAACATAAACATCTTTTGCATTATTTAAGTCAAATACTACAAGCAACTTGTAATTTTTGTATGTATGTGTGTATATATATATATATATATATATATATATATATATATACACACACACATATACACATACATACAAAAATTACAAGTTGCTTGTAGTATTTGACTTAAATAATGCAAAAGATGTTTATGTTTTCAGCAAGCTACTCCACCTGTGTTATTTGTACCCACCCATCTACCCAATCTTCCAAACAACCCATCTACCCACCCACCCACAGCTCTGAGCTAATGCCATTATACTTACAACATTCAGTGATTCCTGGAGTCAAATGTACATCAATCAAGTCTCTATTTCTCTCATAATTACAAATACAAGACATATACAACATGCTACTGTTAACACCTCTCTACAAACAATGAAAATCATTAATGAACTTGCTAATGCATACCTGTAAATGAGCGGCGCTTGGTGCTGATTTCGGTAGCCACACGGACACTAGTACACAAGTTCAGCATAATCAGCATGGTGGCAATCATTATGATGCTTTGCCACAACAGTGCAATTTCAAAGTAACGTCCAAACCTAGAAAACACAAAAATGCAAAGAACAGGGCATATAAATCAATGAGAATGCACTCTTTTACATATCCCATCCTATGAACTACTATGGAGGACCAGATTTACCAAAATGAAAAATAAATTAAATTAAAAATAAATGACTTAGTAAATTAATATATGAAGTAGAATTGCAAAGAATAATGATGATAAATCTAAAAATAAATATATATATACATAATTAATATATGAATAAAAAAACCTTATATAAATTAATAAGTCTGCATTTACTTATATGTCTATTTAGTAATTTCCCCTTCTCACTAATTTTTGTATTTATTTTTTTGTTATTTATGTTTCTTTATTAACATTTTTTCTATTCATTTATTTTCATGACTATTAATTTATTTATTTATTTCTCTATTTATTTATTTCTGTATTTCCTTGTCCTCATGCTAATAAAGGGGCTCTCAGTCAATGATGTCACAGCATCTTAATATTCCTATTGGTTGATCGATATCAGATTCTGTAGATTGATTGTTCATGTCTTGCTCTCTCAACGGTAACTAAGGACAAGACAGTACAGTAATGGCTTCTTACAGGCAGCAGACAGTCAGAGATCTGAGAGTCTCGGCTGATCTGGCTGAAAATGCAAGTACGGATTGTTTACTCGTTCATATGGAGGCTGTGGCGGACAGTTTGGTCCATTATGCTGCCTCTGCTGATACAGAGGTTGACCCCGTAGTGTTCAGAAATTTTGGAGGAGGAGGTTCATCTTTTTCTGCAAAATTCAGATCAAACCCAGACATTTGAACCCCCTTTCTCACATACTGCCTGTGGAAGCCATCGCAAGTTATTTACTGGCAGGTTTGTCTGTTCGTGGCATTGCAGCTCTTTATGGAGTTGGCGAAAGAACAGTTTAATCAGCTCTTCTCCTCCTGGGCTTGACTGCTAACCTGAACGTGAAAAACACGCCTGCTAATTATCATATGAACGACGGAATACAGAAATAAATAAATGAATTAATGAAGTAAATAAATAAATAAATGAATCAATGAAAAAATAAATAAATATATGAATACATGAATAATGAATAAAGAGAACAAATGTTAAAAATATAGATATGGAAAAAATATATAAAAATGGCATTAATAAAACAACAAATAATACAGAAATAAATTGAGAAATATATAACTGCAGAATAAAGAAATATGTGTATAATTACAATTACAATAAGCAATATATACTTTAATTTTTTTATTGATTAATTTACTGGGCCATTTATTTTTTTTTATTTTATTCATTTTTCAATTTGGCAAATCTGGTCCTCCATAAACTACTGGTGTTATATTCCATAATGTTATGCAGAAATCTATGAATTTTAGACATTACCCAGATAATCTTGACACTTGTTATGCCAAACAGACCTATGTTTTGAGTTTGTAAATCTAAATTAGAGGCAAAACCTTCAGTTTAGTATGTGCCCTCTCTAAGGTGAATGAAATGACAGAAAATAACTTACCTGAAGAGTATTCTTAAAATGTTAGCTACAAGAAGCACAAGACAAACATAGGTGGAGAATCCCTCAGCGTTCTGCGTCCTGCGGATGTCTCTGTATTGGGGGATGTATGGTACCACACCACCAAATATAATAGCAAGTGCAGCGATCCAAGAGACCAGTTGATTGATAACATAAAGAATCTGATTAAAGACCTCATCTTCCATATTCGGACAGTGCCAATGGACTTTAAGTGCAAAGCCTGGTCTATTGCTGACCAAAGTAAACGTATAATAATAATAATAATAATAATAATAATAATAATGCATTAAATTCGTATTTGCCCCAGGTCTATCTGTCGACTAGCTCAAAGAACCACTAGTGCATTCTGCTGTCTGACTATGATAAATAGTCCAAACATGACAAGTACTTGACCATACCTGAAGGAAAACAATAAACCGATACAAGACCGCAGTTATAACGACACTATACTCAACTGCAAAGATCAGGTTGAAACTGGATTTATAGAACCACCTTAAAGCTATAGTAAATGTATCCACCCACATATCAGGCTAGCTACCATTCGTAATTGTTAACTAGCGAAATCAATGAAAAAAAAGAAAAACGCTTCCTGCCCAGTAGCAACGTTATTGTACAATGATGCTAGTATACTAGTAGCAAAGATGCGTTGTGCAGTCAACTTGGTCCTCTTAACATTCAACGTTTCTCGGGTCGCTGAATACTCCTGGGTATAAAAATATTCATAGATTTATAAGTTTAGATTTGGAACTCCTTAAAACAGCTAACTTCCTACTCCTTCCATCTATCTGTAGCTGGAGACTTCCTTATAACGACATCAGACGTCACAGCACACTAAATAAACGGGTCCTAAAAGGAGCCTGGTTAGGTGTCCGTCCGGAGAAGAATAGAGACGTTCCTCCTAGTTGAGAAATTAATCGCACACATTATTGTCCCAATAGGTAAACCTTTTTTAAAAATGTGTCCCTAAATGCAGACTCATTCCTTTAGTTTACGGGATTAGCTTTAGAGACTGACTACGTTCATAAATAAACTTACTATTTTCAGCTTTCAAGGGGATTTACATAATTTGTGAAAAAATCTAGGCCATCGCATCCCTCACGGAGATTACTACACTCTGTTACTCACAGGGTTAAGGAGACTATGACTTTCAAATCTTTTTTTTGAAAAAGATTTTCTTGCTTCTGGGGACCCCTGTCCTACAGTTTAACTATTCACTACTTCAACAAACCTTATCTAGCTCACAAAGTGCTTAATAATCAGTTGATTAGGTGGAATAGACATATTGAAACAGGGAATTGTTGAAACTGTTTGGGGCAGAGGGATTCCAGGAGCAGGATTTAAAAGCAAGTCTCCATATAGTTACTTATAAGTCCCATGAACAGCGTGTAGAACGTAAGGATTTAGGGCTACTGCAGCAAACCATGGATGACTGGTGAGGCAGTGTACGACCCCAGTCTGGTCACATCTGTGAACAACCTGTATGGTACGATAACAGTATCCCTGTTAAACTGGCAGCATGCGAAAAAGCTAGGTTGTGATGCTAGTAGTTCCAGAGAACAGCTAAAGGTAGCTAACTAGCTTAGGCTACAAAGGTTTGATTAGCTTGTGTTCATAAAAGTTTAGAGCTTTGTAGCTAGTGCCCACAAGAAGTCCGCCATAGCTTGATATCAAAATGACTGAAACTTAGACAATGTTTAAAGAAATCCACCTTATTTGTTTGAAATTCAGTACACCTAAGTAATCAGGACTTGGGTTTTACTGAATGTGTATTTTGCTGAGCAGATAATTAGAAGCTAGCTGTCACGGTTTAAATTAACTTCCTACCATTCTGGCGCCTCTCTCACTTGCTGCTAATCATTTTCTGACGCTAACTCTTCGGCAGCTTGAGTCACTGCCTCAAAGTGGTAAGGCTAAAGGCACCCTGCCTGATCAGAAACACCTTCCCCAATCGAAGATGTGTATGGTAGTGAAGAAAAATCGTCAACCTCGTAAGACCTCTCAGTCACAAGCGTGTTATTTGATTTTGTCACTCTCCATATTTTCTGGTAGCTAACGGTAGGGAGCTCTAAGCCCACAGCAGCTCAGCCCACCTGGGTTCCCTCCCAGCCCCATCTCCAAACCCCTAGATCACCGCGGTGCCCCTCCCATTTTTGAGCATTTTTCAAAGCTGAGCCAGGAGTGGAGTTGTGAAAGTAGGGGGTGTAGTTACTCTTTAAGGAGGCTGCCAGTCTTATTACGTCAATAGTGTGCAGCAGCATTAGCTTGCATGTAGCAATATTCATATTTCAACTCTTTAATGACCTTGTAATTGAGAGGATCCAGTGATATTCGAGAGAACAGTGTTCATAGAACAAAGCGTATTGGGTTCTGAACATTTTTATCTATCACGGGGTCCGATAGAGGTGATTTTTTGAAAACCCTGTTCATTCTGGCCATAGAGAAATCAAGCTTAGACCCGGAGTTCCTAATATGGGCATAAGAGTATGGCGCCGACTACAAAATGACGACACGACTACAGTGGCATAAGTCCCATTGAGGGCACAAATGCTAAACGTGCCCTTTAAGAGAAGCACGCTTTTCACACAACGCGCATGCTCACTGTACAACATTTGGATAGCGCCTCCGCTGGCTTTTCACCAGCTTGCTAGAGATTACTCCGCCTGTTCTTTTCCTCTTACACTTAGCCGCTACGTGGCTAGCTAGCTAACGGAAAAGCAGCAACTGGAAAAAAAATCATTCATTAGATTCAAACGAAGATGTCTAGAGTTTACATTGGAAAGTTGAGTTATCGCGCAAGGGAGAAAGACGTCGAAAAGTTTTTTAAAGGATATGGAAAGATTTTAGAAGTGGACCTTAAAAATGGGTAACCTGAATGTCTTCCACATTTTGAAGCTAAGTTAGCTAGCCAGGCCAAGCTAGCTAGCTGGCACAAACAGTTAGCATGTTACGCTAGTTAATGCTGAAATGATTAATATAACGTTAAATTCAGTTTAGCGACATGGGGTAGGATAGTTTTTTGACCGAAAGTTGTGCTGGGTGTTGGTTCATTGCATTCGGGAAATGAATACGTTACTGACTCCATTTAACACCGATGAGTATAATGCGATTAACGTTACATCGTTAGTTTAGGCAGTTCGTTCATCAACCCCATTGTTGGTCGGTTTTTAACGTATAGTGTCAGTGAATCCAATAAGCAGTAACCTAGATTCAGTGTACATGCTTAATATAGAGCAAGTAGTTAAGTTTGCTGTGCTCGACGAATGAAAATACTAGCTAGCGTTAGCTATATCAGAGCATGTCTGTATAGCTATAGCTAATCTTTCCTCCCGTACTGCTGCAGATTATACGGACACGAGCAGCTACAAACCAAAATGACAAGTTTGTTTCTCTCTTGGTCAAGGTACGGATTTGTAGAATTTGATGATCCCCGCGATGCAGATGATGCAGTATATGACCTGAACGGGAAGGACCTGTGTGGGGAGAGGGTGATTGTGGAGCACACTAAGGGACCACGACGTGATGGAGGTTACAGCTCTGGAAGAAGTAAATTATTATTTACAGTATGATTAAGCATTTATTGGTGGGACACTGAATACTTCTGAAGGTTTAGGTTGGGATGGCTGTGTATTTGCGAAGGCATCTCAGATAGAAATGGATTATTGGTGGAGTGCAATCTTAAGTTGCAAACTAAATTGTAAACTAAAAGCACTTGAAAATTGAATGGGGTATGTTTGTCTTAAGATGTGTTGATGTCATTATTGGGTCAAATGAAGTGACACATAATCAAGCCATACCGTTAAACAAAACAACAAAAAAAGACCTTGGACTTATTAAGTGGGAATGGAGCAATGTGAGCCACCATGAGTACATTGTCTGAGAAGCCTGATTGCCTTCAGTTTGTAGTTGATTGGAGGACACTTACCAGTAGTGTTCTGAAATAGATGAATTTGGATGGGGAGCTGGTAAAAATTAATTTTCTTTTTAGAGCGGTGTAATGATTTATAGTAATTGCTGTACTCTGAATAATGATCTTTCCAGTGATAACTTCAACAAAGTAACTAAATTAACTAATTTCGGTTTTCTAAAACTTTTATTTATTTACATTTTAATGAATGTTACAGTAAAGCTAGAGATTTAACAAAGAACCTCAATGTTTTAATTGAAAGTGACTGCCTGCCCCTATTGCTGGCCATGGTGTCCCCCCCTTCCCAAGCGTGTGCCTCTTTGACCATTCTGGGCCCCTGTGCAGACCAATAAAGGGAACCAATGTGAATGAAGACCGCTTTTCCCCTTAGGCCGGGTGGTGAGGATGCCATGGGGTCAGGAAAAGATGTGGGTTGAGCTCTTGTAGGTTCCTGAACTATTTTGGTTTTAGTTTGCTTTTCCTCCTTTTTCCTTTTCATTATTTGAATTTAACATCACAAAGATTTGATGTTGGTTCACTGAAGGTTCAAGTACTTGATTTTGTATAAAGTCTCCTTCAGAACTGGTTCATGTAATTAATGTAGATTCCACTGATTATTCAGTTTTCAGTTTATGGCTGTTTCAGTGTGTTAAAAGTAAACATTTTTTTTTTATTAAAACACATACTGGAGTCTTGTATAACTGAGCTTTTATTTTTACAATAAATTTAGAATTCACTGTATGTGTAGTTAGCTATAATCTGAAAAATGTAGTAGAATAGCTTTGTTACTGCTTTCAATTTTACCCACCTCCAACCTTTCTTGCCCACCCAAACCGATGTATGTTGTTGTCCTCATCATCTTGAAGGTAACTGGTATGGGCGTGGGGGGAGGGACAGATATGGTCCACCAACACGTACTGATTACAGACTGATTGTGGAGAATCTCTCCAGCCGCTGCAGCTGGCAGGACCTGAAGGTAAGAGTCGTTTTGGTCTGTGGTGTAACCTCATTTATTGTTTGGGTTGGGCCTTTTTTCGTTCATGGTTTGATTCATATCTTGGTTTGCCTAAAAAACTGAACCAACACAGAACAGTGAGCGTGTGTCCTTGTGTTTGGGGAAGGAAGATATTTAACATTTTTTTTTTTTAATAATACTTTACAAATTTACAGATTTTACTGAAATGGCCATCCATAAACAATTCTCCTAATGATGGTGAAATCACTTAAAAACACTACCTCGAGTGGCTTATTGTTTTATTTCATACCGTGCTCAAACACATTAAACACCACAATGCCTCTTTGTCCCCAGTTCAGTTTAGGTGAGTATCCACTGCCATGAAAAGAAAGTATAGCTTTTGTGCCAATATTCGGCTCACGCTCCATGTGATGAGCTTGGTGTCTGACTTGTGGACCGCATTCCTGATGACTTTTTGATTTTAAAGCCCAAGTTCGCTAGAAAAGTAAATTTAAGAAAACCGTGGTACACAACCTGGCTGAAAGTGAACTGGTGCTAGGGCAGTATGTACATATTTGTATATGTTTTATAGTTGTGAATTAGTTACTAAACTATGGGACACTATTCCCCACGTGATGTCAGTTTTAAGTAACAAGACATTCATTGTAAAATCATGGTTTGAGCCAGTGGGCCTACTTAAAAGAATGTGGTTCACAGAGCTTAAAAACAGTGTTATTAGAGTGCTTGACAGCAAGGCCTAACAAAGCCAGCTTTCGAATGATTAGAGACTGGGCAAATATTAACACTAGGCCTACTACATATAGCGAAAGGAGCACTAATAATATATCAAAAAGAAATGAGATTATGCTATGAATTGAATTATAGAAATGTGGGATAAGATTGGTTGTTTTGATGTATTTTAAAAGTGCTCCACTGACTAATTTATTTGCCTTATTTCTTTAGGTTATCATAACCTTTTAATCATCTCTCTCATACAACATAAACCAAAACTTTTTAAGTTTCTCTTGATATCTACTTTTTATTCTATTTTTTTATTTTATTCTATATTTCTATTATTATTATTTATCAGGCCTTG